TCCCTCCCTCTCGTACTTAGTTAAATAATGCAGACGGTCTCTGATTTCCACGCTTGGTGATGACAAAGTGTGGAGGAGAAACAGTCTTGGCTCTGTTTGGAGGGCTCTCTATGTGACAATGATATATTTATAACCTGTCATCATGCTGTGCCGTTGTCAGTACCTACTGTATCTATCATTTTTATGTTTTCAGACCATCCGAGCGCTGAACGCAGAAACTGAAAGTTTAGAAGCAGGAGGAACACTTCCTGTGAGGCTAGCTAGCTGGCTAGATAGATAGATAAAAAAAAAACTTTTGTTGAAAACCATGTCATTTCCCTGAAGAGTTCCTCTTCCTCTCAACTTCCTGTGGCCAATCCAAATCAAATTCTCACTTATGAATTGAAAGCTTGCCAATTCCTCAGTTATGACATTTTCCTAGCCCTAGGAAAAATGTTAACAATCTAGACTCTATTTTAATTGGTTAATTTTGTTTTTACTCTAGGATACGTCACATTACTAAAGTGAAATCAACCCGGATGCTGTTTCATGTTGACGTTAAACAGCTCATCCCCATGAACAGCCTCTCACTTCCTGTGCTCTTCACGCTGTCTTATAGTACCACAGAGCCGGAAGACATTACATAGATTCTGTTTTTGGAATCCTCAGTGCTAAAATGCACTAAGAAAACCCACGCAGATCAGTGTGTAAATGTGCCTTACTACAGCTCTCTCCACAAATTTTGAAATCAGCCCACACACATACGCATCCAAGGATCTCTTGTGTGGTTTTCAGGAATCTAAATCAAGCTGCTAAAACCAACACAGCTCAAAATCAAACTGAAAGAGAGAAATATATTGAAAAAGACAAGTGGAATCAAGTATACCATTCCACTTCATGACATTAGTTTTTGAGGACACTGGAAATGGCACAAACACACAAACATGCACATTGCAGTGAACTATCACTTCACAGGAAATGCTACGCTGATATGACAGACCTGATAAAATACCTGAAAATGGCACATGCAAATAAAATAAAAAAAATTCTGTTTCTACTGAACTGCACATGATATCTCCAGCTGCTGTGGTGGTTTGACGCAGTGCATGCGACACAGAAAAAGTGTGTTTGCTGTGTGTGTCTGTGCATGTGTACACACCCGAGGACAGGAAAAGGAAGTGTACGAGAGATGACAACAGCCTATCTGCACTACTATACAAAAGTCAAAGCCGATGAAATACCTCCAGCAGCTGGGGAAACAGACCCTCAGCCCACGGTCTACAGCACTTTCACAGCCAATAAATGCCAAGAAAATAAAACAGTGCCTCTGAACTTGCAAATGTATTCTTGTTTGTGCCTGATGTTGCACAGAGACTCACCCAAAGAGACCTTCGGGGGCTTTCAGATCAAATCAGCTGTATTTTACACCAAAACTGAAGGGATAAACAAGACCTCAGGATGGAGCAGTTAATGTCACTGAGGGGCAGTGAGGCTAACAAAACACAGCTAACTGTGAGAGAGCGCTAACAGGGCTAATGTTTTGAGGCCACAGGGACATGAGGGCCAGCGCACTGTGCCTGCATGATATGAGGATATTAGGGTAATGTGCATGAAGAACATTTTGTATTCTCATGAAAGAAAGACAAAAAGAGAGAGAGGTTTAAGGGTTGTGAAATATACTAAATAGGGGAAGTGTGAAGTGAAGTATGACAGGAGTGTGTTTAGAATATTCAAGAGAGTTTTTTTTTAATCACCCCACTGATTAATAATATATTCTCCTCTCATAGCTATTACAGGGAATAATAGTTTATATACAGACATAAATTACACTCAATTTTTCTCCTTACTTAATTCAGGAAGGAGAAAAACAAATTTACACAATTTTAAATATTAAACCTTTAATTTTTCTTTAAAAAGTAACATTTAAATTTTTCTTCCAGTATCAACTATTCCGTTCTTTGTGCACATACATACATTACAGTTTAAAAGGGTCAGCATCCTGAAAATAATGTATCATGGTTTCCTCATGAATATTAAACAGCATTATTTTCAACACTGATAATAATCAGAAAATGTTCTTAAGCACCAAATCAGCATATTAAATGATTTTTGAAGAATCGTGTGACATTGAAGACTGGATTAATCGCTGCTGAAAATTCAGCTTTACCATCACAAGAATAAATTACATTTTAAAATATATTAAAATAGAAAACTGTTGTTTTAAATTGTAATAACATTTCACAATGTTACTTTTTACTGTATTTTTCACCAAATTAATGCAGCCTTGGTAAACATTAGAGACTTCTTTAAAAAATAAACAGGCAGAAAATGTCAATATAACAACAAAAGTGCTTGCCAAGCCCAAGAGTTATCTTAGCAAATGCCCTTGAGATTCACACACACACACACACACACACGACTCCCTCATATCTCTGTGATTCATCTACATAAGGTCAGTGGTCCTCCCCCCGGTTTCCTGGTGCTGGTGTGACTCTGAAGGAGCTCTGTTTACATAAATGCTTCTGGCTGCAGAGGTCTGTAAAATCCCTGAAGCCAATGAGGGGGTGTCTAGCTTCTGTTTTGGCTGTAATTACATTGTGAGGCTGTCTTTATGAGCTATCTGCATTTCCTGTTCATGTCCAAAGCCTGTCTGTTTGCAGAATGGCACATGTCTCTGGGGTGTCAAAATGGCAGTAAAAACAACTATAATACAATTTATGCCAGTGTCGCAGGCATATGGACCAACGAAGGCTTTTATATGTACAAATTAATTAAGTTACTTGTATGTCTCATCTGTTTTGTTGCAAAAGATACTCATTCGGACTTTGTAATGGAGGCATTCACATGCAAATCACACTGAACCTTTGTGCATAATATATCTGCCCCGTGTGGTGAAGTTTGGAATGACAGACAACTATAAATGGTTATTTTGAACAATGCAACTTTATCTGTTATTCTATGAAGCTGCATCAAATCAGTGACACAATCTGTAGTTCACATGACCAAAGCCCTGCCCTATGTGAGGAGTCGACTAATGTGAATTTCATTTCCGTTGAGAAATAACCATAATGCCCTCTGCTGACAGCTCACCATTCAACAACTTTCAATCTCACTGACAGCACAGGCCAGCTGGGTTTGCTCTTTTCCTGATTTAGAGGAGATAGGAACAGACAGGAGGGGCCTCATAAATAAGATGGATACACTACAAGGGACGGAAAAGCTTTTTCCAGTAATGACTACTCTGACAATATAAATGCTCTGAGAGAAATAGGCTACTTGATGTCTGATTGGCCTCTAGGTCATACCGTTTTGACCTTTTGGTCAGCCATCATATGCTTTGAAGAGGATGGGCTCATCTAAAAACTTGGGCAAAAGAAAGTGTATGCCTTTGTGTGCGTGTTGCTGAGGACAGTGTGCCCCTGCTGCTCTTCCTCAGTCCCAACTGTGCTGTCACTTCCTGTGTACCTGGGACTAAACTCGCTGCCACTGTAAAACGCAGCCAAGCATCAGAGAGGCAGTTAAGCATGTGCTAATGTGTCCCAGCCAAGCAACCCAAGGAGGATCAGATTCACTGCATAATTTTATGCTCTCTTTCTAAATTTGGAAAGTTCTCTGCATGCTTCACTTACAAAAAAATGGTAGCAAAAAGTATGCCGCATCACAAAAGTTTCAATATATTACTACAAGATATACAGGTGCATCTCAATAAATTAGAATGTCGTGGAAAAGTTCATTTATTTCAGTAATTCAACTCAAATTGTGAAACTCGTGTATTAAATAAATTCAATGCACACAGACTGAAGTAGTTTAAGTCTTTGGTTCTTTTAATTGTGATGATTTTGGCTCACATTTAACAAAAACCCACCAATTAACTATCTCAACAAATTAGAATACTTATTAAGACCAATAAAAAAAACATTTTTAGCCTTCTGGAAAGTATGTTCATTTACTGCACATGTACTCAATACTTGGTAGGGGCTCCATTTGCTTTAATTACTGCCTCAATTCAGCGTGGCATGGAGGTGATCAGTTTGTGGCACTGCTGAGGTGGTATGTACTTCAGTCTGTGTGCATTGAATTTATTTAATACACGAGTTTCACAATTTTAGTTGAATTACTGAAATAAATGAACTTTTCCACGACATTCTAATTTATTGAGATGCACCTGTAGTCCAATGTTATGTTTTTTTTAAATATACTATTGTACTACTAATTTTTTTTAAATAAATAAAGTACTTATAAAATAGCATGGTAAAGGAATATGGCAATAACTTAATACCATGGTATATGTCAAAGTACCGCAATTTTACTGTTTTATGATACCATCCATATGGAAGCCTGTTTTGCTTTATAGCAAACAATAAATAAAGTAATTGTAAGATACATTTTAAAATAAGAATTTAAAGGGAGAGTTCACCCAAAAAAAAGAAAATTCTGTCAATAATTACTCACCCTCATGTCTTTCCAAACCTGTAAGGCCTTCGTTCATCTTCGGAACACAAATTAAGATATTTCTGGTGAAATCTGAGAGCTCTCTAACCCTCCCATAGACAGCAACGGAACTACCACATTCAAGGCCCAGAAAGGTAGCAGTTTAATTTGTGCACAAAAATATTCTCGTAGCTTCATAAAATAAAGGTTGAACCACTGATGTCACATGGATTATTTTAACAATGTCCTTACTACCTTTTTGGGCCTTGAACGTGGTAGTTGTGTTGCTGTCTATGCAGGGTTAGAAAGCTCTTGGATTTCATAAAAAAACATCTTAATTTGTGTTCCGAAGATGAACGATGGTCTTGCGGGTATGGAAGCAGTAAAGTCAATTTATTTTGCTTTTCTAACTATGCATGATAACATACAGTACTATCCGTGACCCACATAAAACAGGCCTGTGACCCATTTTTGGTCCACCAGATTGGATGAACAGTCTCTGTCAGTTCTGTCTCCTTGTGTTTCTCTATAGTGAGGAGCTCCCTCTTATAGTGTGAATACAGCAATAATAGCTAAGTGAGAGAACTTACCGTCTCCTGAGGGTCTTTGGTGCCGGACCTCTGTGGAGTGGGGGTAGACACATCCTCCGTCGGCTGATCTAGTTGGTTGCAGTCCAGCTGAACAAGCCCCTGACACTCCAAATGACATGTGTAGCTGCAGTCTGGAGGCCAGAGACAAACAGGACACACACAGTCACTAACAGCCATGAAGCACACAGACAAACAGCACAGTTTAGAGAGCCAATGAGGGCTGCCAACACTCTTTCACCTCCTCTAAAAGAAAACGGCTTGAAAGGGCTGGAGGAGGACTGGGTCATGTGTATTATTTACTGTAAATGTCTGTGTCAGCATGAGCGCAGAAGCCTTGGAGAAAATCGACTGGAGCTGGTGATGATAAACTGACAATCTGCATGTTGTGAACATCTGTCTCAGACACATGCGCTCCACAAACTAGAGACGGCAAAGACGCTTCAGAATGAACGGTGACAGTGTCTCATTTACTTTAGACAGAATGTCTGGTGTGTCCTCCACATAAACATTAATTATAAGAAGGAATTCAGTCATGTGCTCGGTTAAACAGTGCCCTATTCATTCACTCTCAACTGACTTGACCCCAAGACAGATGTTTATAAAAATCAGAAGACCTTATTTCTTTTATTCAGTGTCAACTATAGCAGCTGTAACCTTTATTACATTGACATCAATTGCGCTTTTTGACATAGTTGTTGTGTGTGGTGCCATCTAGTGGATGTCGCATATAAAATACTGCTCCGTTTGCACAGGAGGAAGAGTGACTTAAAGGCAGAGTAAGTGATTTCTGGTAGCCAATGTTGATATTTGAAATCACCAAAACAAACACGCCCCTACCCCAAAAGGGTCTTGCCCCTATTTTGATAGATCCACCGCACATATACGTACGCAACCCAGGCAACGATTAGTTCTGTGAAACAAAGCAAAACCAATATT